AAAAGGGTGATTCAAAAAAAACACAATTATTGTTAATTATCGTTACAACGATTCGAGTTGGTTGATGATCACAGCTATTTTGCTGCGTTCTTTGGGTTCTTGTTTCCACGCATTATCAATGACTTCTTGATACTGTTTATCCAGTAAATTCACCAAATTTGGTCTTTTACCAACTGAAATTTCATCAGCAATAGACCACGCAAACGGGTATATTGTTTTCGGGAATGAGTTATCCCAAGCAAAACATGACAACATAGTTATAGCAAACGAATACACATCTGCTGGTTTCTTATATTTACTTCTCTCCAAAATTTCCGGAGTTATATACTTTGGTGTTCCAATACCCTTAGTGAAAGTCATGTTAGTCATCAATAAATTAACATTTCTTGCACTCCCAAAATCAGTCAATTTTGCATTCACATTTTCATTCAAATCAAGTGAAAACACAAGTAAATTGTCTGGTTTGATGTCTCTATGTAATATCCCATTTTCATGAAGATATAAAATTCCTTTTGCTTTATTTCTCATAAATTTAACACGAAGTTGCATATTAATTTTTTCACTCTTTTTATTTTCAATTAAATTTTGTAAACTCCCAAATTGAGCGAATTCGGTGACCATACAGATCTTACTTGGTATAAATACGGCGCCATAGAAATGGACGATATACTCACATCTAAATTTATCCAACATCTCCACTTCATTTTCAAATTCATTGAGTTGCGACTTGTTTTCATCTTCTTAATAGCAACAAGATTGCCTCGTAAAGTCCCTTTGTACACAATACCAAAGGACCCTTCACCAAGTTTTTTGTCTTCTTTTAATTCGTCTGGATCAAGTCGTGTGGTCAATTGAGCTGTTAAACTGAAATTAATCTCTTTGTATATTATTCTTTGTGTGTCAAATGCGGTTGCAACAAGAAGAAAAAAACTTTGAATTTTTGAAGTGCAAAACAAAGTCACAAAAAATTCAAATTCACAGGCTTCGCCTTTGCCTAAAACAATTAATTGCGGATTTGAAGTAAATTCAAACTTCTCATTTTGACTTGTATTCGTCAAAATTTGAATTTTCATGTTGTGTTTTGTGGTGTTGCCTACACATATAAGCTCACGTAGTTTCTCATTGACATTCACCTCATCTCCATCATTAAAAACAATTTCTGTCTTATTCACGGCTATGCCATCATTGAGAGAAATAAAACGAATATTTGAATGTGACATTGAAAATACAGTGGTCGATTTATCTATTACTTTTCTGTGACGATTTTTTTGTATTTTAATCATTATAATGTAAATATACACAACAATCATTGTTATGATTATTAGAACTATTATTATAATAATTAAAATCAACCACCACACCGCTTTTGTATTGCAAAAGGTGCCACTCTAACTTGGGACATGCCAGAATGAACATTTGGAGCATTTGGAATTTGCTGTTTCAACACATTTGTCAATTTTATTCATTGATATACATTGTTTATTTGCATTTAAAATGTAATTTGAATCACATGACGTACATCTGGTATTTGATACACTACATGTCAAACAGTTGTCATCACACTTTTCACATTCATTTGTTCTTACATTAAAATATCCATTTTGACACTTTGAACACCCATTTTGGGTCACTTCTACTTGACACCCAATTAATGAACTCTGTGGTAAACAGTCTCCGTCTTGTGTTTTATAATTTGTAGAATTACAAGTCAGACATTTTGAATTTGTGTTACATGTCGAACAATTGGATAAACATTCTATACAGTCAAGATTTACTCGGTAATACCCATTTCTGCATTGATAACACCCACTTGTGACTATTGCTACTTTTTCACATTTATTAATTAATTTGTCGTTGGAAATGCACTTGTTGTTCTCACCCAAGTAATATCCATTTTTACACGAAATACATTGCGATGATGTTGATACACATGATGTACAATTTTCATCACATTCAAAACATATTTGACCGTCGGTGTAATATCCAATATCACATGTTAAACAACCCATGTTGTTCATCACTAAACAATTGTCGATTTCTTCGTCCATTGTTGAAACACACATCCCATCCATATTTGGATACAAATCTTCTTCACATTCAACACAAATTTCATTGATCATTTTAGTGCAACTTTCGACAAGGAAACTGCATTTCCCGTTTTCGTCTTTTACTTCTTCTTCATCACAAATTGTCGTTTCACAAATTTCATCTTCAGAAAGACGGTAATCAATGTCACATTGTAATTGATACATTTTGTTACATTTAATGGAATGAACATTTTTAGAAGAACATTTGTAACACAATGAATTGTCAATGTAATACCATCTACACATGATATGACGTGATTTCCTAATGAGTATGAAATATTGTCTTTTTCACAGTTTTTGTCTTCATTTAACAAATAATTTTGCTTACAAAGTATACATTTCCCATTTACACACAACT